TATTATTATTTTATTTATATACCGCCCATTCTCCCGAAGGACTGAGGGCGGTGTACAGCCAGAATTAAAATACAAATATACAAATATACAATATCTAGTTAAAATTAATTAAAATCATTAAATAGTTTGGCTGAATTTTAAAACCCAAAATTAAAACCCAATTTAAAATAATTCAATTTGACAGCCCCGCCTGTCGGAACAGTAGGGTCTTGAGGGCACAGTGAAAAACCCGGAGGTCAGAGATGTTATGAATATCCGGGGGCAATTCATTCCAGAGGGCAGGAGCTCCCACAGAGAAGGCTCTCCTCCTGGGTGTCGCCAGCTGACATAACTTGGCTGATGGCACCCTGAGGAGTCCCTCTCTGTGGGAGCGAACTGTTCGGGAGGCTGTTGGTGGCAGAAGGCGGTCCCGTAGATATCCTGGTCCTTTGCCATGGAGCGCTTTAAAGGTGGTGACCAACACCTTGAATTGCACTTGGAAGACCACTGGGAGCCAGTGCATCTCGCGCAGGAGAGGTGTTACATGGGCGTAACAATGTGCGCCCATAACCATCTGCGTGGCCGCATTCTGGACCAGTTGGAGCCTCCGAGTGCTCTTCAAGGGGAGCCCCATGTAGAGAGCATTACAATAGTCCAGACGGGAGGTGACGAGGGCATGAGCGACCGTGCGCAAGGCGTCCCGGTCCAGAAAGGAACGCAACTGGCAGATCAGGTGAACCTGATAAAAAGCCCCCCTGGCTACGGCCATCATATGCTCTTCTAAAGACAGCCGTGAGTCCAGGAGGACACCCAGATTGCGAGCCGTCTCTGTGGGGGGCAGAGATCTTAGTGCATGGGCATATGCACCCAGAGATCTGAGTGCATGGGCATAAACAGAAGCAGGTGCCAAGAACAGGCGAACGAGGAGCTCTTTTGAATGATATCAGAAAGGGTTACACATATTTATTATTTATTTATTAATTCAATTTGTATGCCGCCCCTCTCCGAAGGCTCAGGGCGGCACACATATGGATGTAAGTGAGTATATGTATATTTGTACATAAGAAATAACTCAAGTGAGTATATTTCTGAACTATTTAATGTACTGGCAAACTATTTAATCTACCGGCAAACTTTTTTTTTGGTAAAACAATAAAGGAGACTGGCATAATAGTAAACACCACATCATAGCAGAGAAGTTGGGAGAAGGGAACAAGATCTAAATTTGTTTGCTTTCAATCTTTGCTTGGAGAGTTTTGAACTCTGTAATGTAATTATTCAATCTTGAGGACTTTGCCTCTACCATTGCTATTATAGTAGTATATAACTAGTGCTTCCTAAATGAATCATAGTGCATTATAAATATAAGGGATTTTCTGCTTCAAAGAATGGTGCTAATAAAAACATTTTCTTTTTAGAATATGACAAGCAGCATCTATGAAGAAATTCTAAAACAAATGAAATTCTGATCAGAGACTTGAAAGCCTTGAAAAAAATAAACAAGCTCCCCACAAATTACATTTTTTAAAAAAATCAAATATTCCAGTTTAAAGACTTATTTTCCATTTTTAAAAATAACCAAATAGAACTGCTGCATTTCAATAGAATTCCTACTAAATATTTGTATCAGACAGCAATCTTAATGATAAAATAAGAATTTTAAAGGATTTTTCTTCGAGTCTTGTCTATGCATATATTAAAAAGTGTTGCTAAGGCCTAGACACCATACACCAAGCCCATCCATTCTTAATAGCTGCTTGGTGCTATTGCCAGTTTTCTCACTTACCTGAAGCTGGGGAGTAGAAGCCCCTGTTTCACAGGATTAACCTCACTTAAGTATTTTGTCGGAATATTTAAACAGAATACCAATTTACCATCAGAGAAGTTTGAGAGTACAAAATACACCTCTGTTTTCTGTCCCATTTCTTCAAATAACTACCTACCAATTTAACTTAAGTCTTCTGCAGCAAACAAAGCATTCTGCTCAGTAGGCCAAGGAGGAAGAGAGGTGATTCTCCTGATAGGAGGGAAACGGCAGTCAGACTGGGAGATGCTCCGTCTAATGCATAGGACCGAGTCTGCCAATCAAATTGGCTCTGCCCTCCTGGCCTTCTCCAGTTGTTCGACTCGGTCTATGCTGGACGGACGTGTCTTCCAGCATTCCAATTTCTCCCATAGACCCAGCCCCAGACAGCCTCCTGGTATTCCAGACCCTTCCGGATCTTGATACCTCATTCCAACAGCGGGCTCCAGCTCCACCACCTGCCTCTGACCCAGCTCCAGCTCAGGCGCTTCCACCTCCCCCCATGGCAAGGCCTTGGAAGCCATCATAACCAGGGCAATCAGACAGAGCCTAGCTCAGTGTCTTCTGCCAGCCACTGTACATGCCTCCCCTGGCACCCCTCAACAGGTGCAACCCAGGGAGCTGGAGGATGGTCTTTCTGAACAAGATCATAGAGTTGCTTGATCTTGACACCAGTGCTTTTATTGTTGTTGTTGTTATTGGTTAATAGTCATATTGAGTATTAACAAAAAAAAATGCTCTGGTGTCAAGATCAAACAACTCTATGGTGGACAAATCTATCATATTGATAGATTGGTTGCATCTTTTGAGGCTTCTACAAAATGCTTAATTTTTCAAAGGTGTTACGTTGAGAAGACCAAAATGATATTCTTGTAGGATTTATTGTTTCAGATGAGGATAGTTATTTGATATTAATCATTTTTCCCCTGCCATTCATGGGGAAATACTATTAGAATAAAATGCATAGATATGATCTACTTTGAAACAATTAAGACAGTCCTGCTGAAAGAATTTTAACTGTTATAATGCACTGTGCTGCTGAGTCATCTAAGAACATAGAAAAATATTTTAGTATACTGTTTAGTTTAATCCAACTTAGACAACTGGAACTATCTTATTTTAGGAACATCTAATAAGGCCAGGATGGAAGGTTTTAATACTATAAGGCAAAATTAGCATTAATATCTTTGGGCCTGGCATGTGGAATTTTTGGAATGGACCTTAGTCTGTCCTGAAGAATGTTGGAATGATGGTGATTAGAAATGGAAGGAGATATATCCATATTCATCAGCAGGCTGGTCTGGCTCCAGGCTTTGATAACTGGCCAATTTTGGATTCTATTTATGAAGAGAGTAACTACTGTTAATGAGATGGTTATCGGGGGATGGGGGTCACAAGGATAAAAATGAAGAACTGAATGAAATAATTTCTCGTTCGAAAGGATCTTCTGTTCATGAGAGGATGCAGACACTGTATACTGAATGAATAAATACAGCACTCATTCAACTGCGTTTATCAATTAGAGGGGACCTGTTTTCCTCCTTTCCAGAGGAATTTAATTAAATAATCAATTTCACAAAATTGTTTACATGTATATATGACTAATTTCAAAGGAATGTTCCTAAATTTAAGCAAAGTATGGATCTCGCTTATTAATTCTGGAACTAGATTGACTTTCAGTTAAATAATCCAAGTTGAAATTCTTGCTCTGTAAATTGGATTGTGGGTTAGGGTCTGCAGGAAAAGCAAGCTTTAGGGCTTTTCTAGTTTTTGTTTTTTATACAAATTTACCAAATGTTATCTGTTGGCCCTTGAGACATGATCTGTCTAATTTTGCATTAGTCCATTTGTGCTTTTTATTTCTTTTTGCCATTGCTGTTATTGTCTTTGTTTTTAAAGAATGTCTGCTGTTCTCTTTAGAAAAAAGTTAACTATTTAATTTAATGAACAAATACTTTTAAAATTAAAAAGAATGATTATGCATATTTAAGTTCTGATGGCACTTAAGAAGAGTTATTGGTTGATTTATGGTAAGGTTTCTTTTTCTTTAAGTCTGGTAAAAGGCCGTTTTAGCTGAACAAGTAGGGTACAGTGTTTTGCTGGAATGTCTGGCATTTGAGGGAGAGATGTGCTCTGAACTAGCTAAAGTAGCTGAAGTGTTTTACACAAATTCAGACCATTAAAAATTAACATACTTTAGTGCAGTGGGAAGAACTGAGAATGCCCTCAAGGAGAGGGAGAACTGTCTGAGACAAAAACAGTTGGAATGATTGTCAGCACCAGGAAAAGGGCATTGCTTAGAAGAGAGTGTTAGAGTTAGGATTGAGGTGTCACCTGAACAAATGGAGGAAGCAGGCTGCATGTTTATGAGGCAAATTTCAAACGAGCTCATCCCTTTTCAGTCTGGCAAGAACTTTAGCTAAAGTGAACATCTTCAAGAGGCCACCAGGCTAGAAAGCAAGAGATAGTGAGTTTTAGTCTCACCTTAGGTGTGAAAGCCAGTTGAGTGACTTTGGGCTAGTAACTCAGCCCAACTCATCTTACAGGGTGCTTAGGAACCCTGGAAAATAGGAAGAGGAAGGTGAGGAAAATAGGAAGAGGAAGGTGAGGAAAATAGGAAGAGGAAGGTGTGTTGGATATGTTTCCGCCTTGAGTTATTGGTAAAAATGATAAAGGCAGGATGCAAATACATAAAATAAGAGGTACCTCATATGACTGTTTTCATTTACTGCCCTCTGTTTCAGAGAAAGATATCATCTGTTGAATCTTTCTGCTGATGATTGGGCTGTCTTTACGTTTGTATTTGTTAACACACTGTTCATGGCTAGAAAGGGTACATTTTGATAAAGCTGATACCAGCAGGTTAGTTTGTGTGTGTGTGTGTGTGTGTGTGTGTGTGTGTGTAGGATTAGTAGTTATATAGTGTGTATGAATATTTTGAGGTACAGATCAATTTAGAACTAATCTGATTTCATACTTCCGTTGATGTAATCAATTTTTTAAAAAAGTATTACCTCATGTGCGAACGTTTTTCCAAATTGTCAAATTGCAATCAAACCACCTGCCACAGAGGTACATTTTATGATTTCTAAACTGTAAAAGACACATTCTAAAATACATTCTCTTTCTACTAAAAAAAAGTAATTAAAAGATTGTTATATACTGACAATTATTTTTCCTTCCCTTTTTCCTTCTTGTATTTTATTTCTCTATGTAGATTTTACATAAAAATGGACAGATATCCAGCATTAATGAAATTGCCGAAGAGTATGTGGAGCTCAGCCACGAACCAGAAGTGCTGAAAGAACAGCAGGCAGTACTTACACTAGAAGGTAAGGAGATGTTTATGGCTACAGGAATGATTCTGGAAAAGATCAAAGGAAATTGGAAGTTCTGATCTTTTTATACAGAAACGGGAGAATATATGCCAATACAATCCTTTTTGTTCTCCCAAAATATTATGTGCTAAAATTGATATTCTGAAATCTCAATATAATTCGGATATACAGTTGTAATATTGACGTGCAGTGGATGTTTACAGGGGTATGTAAATAGTATAGTGAATTCTATTGCAGTGAACAGAAGCATTTGCATACCTGGGGCTATCCAGTTCTTTTTATAGCCCATGTAAGTTACATGCTGTAACATGAATAACCTCCATAACACATAGATCAAGAGATCTTTAAGGTACAGGAGCCTTGACTGCATACATGCTTGGTGCAATGAGGGTGAAAGGAACAAAACTTTCTTAAACATTTAGAAATATTGCGTTATAGAACATAAAGTGTGATGCATGCCATTTTTGCTATTGCCCATATAGAATATAGTTGACTCCTCAAAAAACTACTGTCAGCTATTTGGAATAATCTGGACTAGTGAGCCCCTGCTGTAACCTCCCTATTGACATTAAATTAAATTATAAATAGAAGGGCACTGATTCTAAAGGAATGGAGATTAGTTTTGATAGTTCCCACTGCTGAAAGATTTGAAGGGTGAGCAGGAGACAAATCATGTAGAGAAGGCCTGCCTATGTGCTCATTAAGAGTTGACACTACCTTGTCGACACATAATCAAAAAGGAAAACTGGCATTTGCCTGAGAGCTTGTTTTTCTTATCTCTTATTTTGCGCTATCTAGTTGAAAATTATATTTTTAGACTAGGATCTGTGCTATTTGTGGCTTTATTGAGCAGATTCACTTCACAGATGTGTTCCAAGGTAAGTCGCACTTCCTTTTTTTTCAAGCTGGTAAGATACTCAAATCAGATAACAATTCCTAAATTCAGAAGAGCCCTAATTCTGGCATGTTAGTGAAAACACAGAAAGGAACGAATGAACTACATTTCTTACTTACTGCATTTCTGTAGTTACGTAGTAAAAACATTGATCATCTTTCCACCTTTCCATCATAACTGATAAAAATAGTAATATTCAAAAATTAAATAATAAATGAATGATTGTTTAAAAAAGCAAACTTTTATGAAGAAATTCAGAACACTTAAAAGTAAATGAATGGTGATGATCTTAGTAGTGTTTGTGTTGTTTAGTAGATGCAGTGTTTGTGTCGTTGTTTTTACAGTCTACCACAATTACTGTTAAGTGGCTAAAATATGAAAATATCCATAGAATGTGGAGAGAAGTGTTCATTATGTCAGAATCTCCCTCTGTGTCTATAAGGAAATCTAAACAAGTAGCATAAAAAAGATCCGAATACATGAATTTTGACAGCAGTTTCTCACTGGATACAAGAATCATTCACAACTTCAAACAACTTGGCTGCATATGATGTTGCAAGAAAAAAAGAATAACTTGGCAATGTCAGTTTAGTTGCAGTCTAATAGTTACACATAGATTTTTGCCTTTGGGTAGTTCTCCATTTGATCCTTAGTGGTCTCCCTTCCCATTTCATAATTCCCAACTCAGGCCCTTTAAGACTCTTGATTTCCCGGAAATGTTTACACAATGCAATTCTTAAACTCAGTTATCCTGTGAACAAGGGTTCTTCACTTGATCCAGATTAATTTCAACTATTCCCCAATCCCAGGATATAGAAGTAAGTATATGTTCAGGATCAACATCAAAACTGTCTACTGAGACCTAGAAATGGTCCTGGGAAAAAGTCAAATAAAAGCTTACTTGAAAGTTAGATTCAATTTACAAGGAAGAATTATCTCTAGAGAATTTTGATTGGCAGCAACCAAGGTCTAGATATGAGAAGTTTTGGCTTTAAAAATCATCAATATCAAACAGTCTGTGCTGAGATAATACCTGTGAATTGGCCTCTGATCTTGTTGCCAGACTCCTCTTAGCTCTTTGATGTTTGATCCCTGGACAATTTCCAGAATCTGTTTTGGACTCTGATTTAATTGCTCTTGGCTGTTTTTAATGGTGTTTTATGGCTTGTCTCCCAACTTTATCTTCAACAGTTTATTGAGTTTTTCAGTTTTGTTGCCTGGTCGCTTTTGGGGAGAAAAAACGTGTTTCTGAAGTAATCTCTGACAGTTTTATTGTTATAAAAGATATAATGAATTCTTGAGGGATACTGGGCAAAGTGACATTACCATGAAAATTAAGTTTTGTGGTAGGTTAATTCCAGTTCTTCAACACTAGCTTGAAATAAATCTCTGGAAACACAGTCAGATGCTTATATACTACCGTAATAGGCATACTATTTCCAAGTATCCAATCCAATATAGTGGATAGAAAGAACATTCAAAGTGACATTCAGTAATTGCAACTCTGTACCCACTGATATTATTCTAGTTATTATGAACTAGGATTTCCCAAATTGCTTCTTTCTTTGGGACCTTTAAACTATAGCTCCTAAGCCCAAAAATAACCCTATAATTAATAACCATTCAATGCAATTTATTAACTGACTTCTGAGACTAATGGCATAAAGGTAATAAAATAATAAGACAACAACTTGTGAGGAGTACTAATGTACATAGCAAACAAATAAGTAGCAGTAGTTTATGAGAATTTACCACACTATTCAAATCGGTGGGGAAAAAGACCAGGCATTCAGAGAACAGAACTTCCAATTCATTGTGAGAAAGATGAGGCAGGAGGTCAGAAAATGGCAAGGGAGATGGGGGAAATTTCAAGAAGTGTTTTATTCTGCAGTGTTCAACCATAGCAGAAGGCAGGAGAAACAGAGAGACACATGGCACTACCAAGAAAGCCAAAATTACTGAGGTTTCCTGACATAACTAGCAAATCAGGAAAGAAATGGAGAAAAATACATTCTGCAGCACTTACACACTCTCACACATACACTAAGGGATGACACCTACTGCTATTAGAATTGTAGTAATTGTAGTAATCTGCAGGCAACAGACTGTTGAAGGAATCCTATTTTTCTTCAGCTGAGGACCTTTCCCCAGCTAGATGTGCCTGCTGGTTTCCTTCTGCAAGATATTAATAATATGCATTAACTTGAGTTATTCCTCCAATAATGGGGAGTATTTGTATATTATAATGCCATATTTTATTATCATTAAATACCTCAGTGTGGAAAACCAGAATTGAAACTTAGGTGATAGATACCCACCATAGGGCATTTGTTTTTAAATATCAAATCACATGTTTAATGTTTCATGTACCATGCAAATCTTTTAAAAAGTAGACCCTTTAAGCCATTCATTTTTGAGATGTGTTGGTATATTTTCAGTTCAATTAAGGAAAATGTTTGCAGTGTATATCTCTAGTGGTTGGCAACTTTCTTATAAAAAGCAGCCATGGCTAGGTAGCTGAATCATAGCAATACAAGAAGCTTCTTCTCTAGCATTGTTGTATAGAGGGTATAAAGTGCCGCCTAATTTATTTTGAAATAAGGTAGTCATCTGTTGAAATAAGGTAGTCACCAATATTACCACTGGTGTTTGTGGTAATATGTTTTCCATCACACCTTTGATTTGCTACTTGGAGGAGAACATTAAAAGTATTTATAAGGAGAGTCTCAGGATACAAGAAGAATGCATGTCTTCTCTGTTTCTTTCGACATGCATTTGACTTCTGGAGAGCTTTATTAAAGAATATGTGTGTGTGTGTGTGTGTGTGTGTGTGTGTGTGTGTGTGTGTGTATGTGTATGTATATGTATTTTCCAGTCCTTTTGATTTACTGTATTAACCCAACTCTCCTAATGCATAACTTGCATGCCAATAATGGCTGAATGAAACAAGCTCTCTCATGATCTTGTCTGAAAGACATAAGAGTTTTCTAATACAGGGTCAGTGTAAATTAGACTAAGTGAGGCATGAAATTTGCCTCTAGATGTATAAGGGTGACAAATTAATTTAAAATTATCTCAATAGTGAGATAAGTAAAATAATTGTATTTTGACATTTCCTTAGTATTGCAAACATGTTCATGAATTCCAAAAATTGCCTACCCCAAATATAAGTGCCTGTCAACTATTGTAATTTAAATGAAGATGATTAGTTTATTACAGAAAGTGCCACAAAGTATATTTTAGAGTGCTTTGTGGATCAAGCTAATATAAATCATGTTTTAAAATGTAGATACAGTATTTTTGCCTGCACTAGTCAAAGAAGAATATTGTAAAATAATTAATACTTGACTTCTTCAAGCTACAATTTACTTTAGAAAAATGATTTAACATAGCATTATACTTTAAATCATTCTTTTTTGTCTAAGAGTAAATATGCTTTTACTATAGCTCTCATTATCTTCAGCCCAAGATGGAGGAAAGGAAATTTGAAAGTAATTGATTTCAGTATAATTTAAATAATACAGTTGCTAAAAGAAATAATCTGTTGGTGTGATAGAGAGAGAGAATATACATGCACTGTATGTTAGAGAGACAGATTTGTAAAATAGTGTCTCTAGAAAATGTCTTAGCTTTTGTTCTGAAAGTATATTGTAAATATATAGAAGTATTTTATACAATGCTTGATTTAAGCAAATTCTGCTAATCTGCAGTCCCAAACATTTTGTAACCAAAAACAAAAAGGATGACCAAAGGGATGACCAAAGTGTGGAGATTTCATTATTAAATTTAGAAGATACACGTTCTCTTCCCCAGTGAGCAATTAAAGAATGGCTGGCCACAAAGAGTTGTCAATCAAAGATTAACCTACTAAAACAGAACTTCAGTCTGCCTTTTTCAACAGACAGTGAAAGTCACATGTGTGTTTTTTTAGCTCTGCTTTTCTTCAGCTTCTTCATTTATCTCTCCCTCCCTTCAATAAATATCTCAGTTGGAGAAATCGAAATAAAGGAATCCTTTACATTGGAAGGGGGGGAAAAACCTTAATTTTTATCAAATGGAAAAAATAATGGGATTATCATTATCACAGGCACGAAAAATT